TTTTTTTTACATTTGCTACATGTCCATGGGGGAGATGATAAAAAGAAAACTCTCAGAGAAAAGATGTTGCTGACCTAATCACATAAACACTCATGTTTTCCCAGCATGTTTTACAAAACTGCACTTCTCTCCTGCCACCCCTAACTGGGAAGTTGCTCTCCTCAGGCAGCATCTTACATGCCTCAGACCACACTGCAAAGAAAGGGGAATACAAAAGAAACTTCCACATCTTTATTTTCCAACCTCCAGTGGTTTCAACCAGGGTTCTCTTGGAGCAGAAATCCTATGCCTTTTCTCACTCAGAGTTGCTGAGAAAGTATAATCAGAGGTTTTCCTATTGTGCAAAGGAATTCTTTTCCTTTCCCATATCTGCAAGATTTCTGTTTTCAGCAATGTGCTTCCCCGTCCCATTTCTCTTTCCACAGGTAATAGAGGGAAAGCTGGCTCCATTCTTGGGCAAGGTCATTAAATTTGCCACCTCACACGTATACAGCTGCAGCCTTTGTAGCCAGAAGGGGTTCATCTGCGAAATCTGTAACAATGGCGAGATCCTCTACCCTTTTGAAGATATTTCAACAAGCAGGTAAAGAATATCTTATCTTACAAAAGAATATCTAAAGGCTAGGCTTGGTGACGCACACCTGTAATCCCAGCACTCGGGAAGCAGAGGCAGGCGAATCTCTGTGATGTCAAGGCCAGCCTGGTATGCATAACAAGTTCCAGTCCATGCAGGGCTACATAGTGAGAGTCTGTCTCAAAAAAAGAATGTCTGAGTATGTCATTTGCACTTTTATTTGGCCAAATTGTGCCAACTTTTGTCTAAGTATTATATGTCTCTCTCCTAACCTGACTCAGGTTTCCCTTGTTATTGGAGAAAATCTTTCACCCTTTGGTTTCCTATTTCCAGTCCTTTATCTGCTACCTTTACAAAGATGGAGTTAACAGAGTTGCAAAGAAACCCCACCTAACTCTACCTTATTAGGCAATAACGTTCAGGTTCAGTTTTAGAATGACAATTAGGAGGAGAAAATCCTGCCTAGCTTTCAGAGCTAAGTGACTGGAAATGGGAAATCACCTTCTCAGGCCAAACCTAGATTGACTGCTAGAACTGCAACTCTAACTCTAACCCCAGTGGACAGCCGCCTACTCACCACATGCATTTCTCCACAGGCGCAGCAGTGCAGTGATGAAAGTTTTAGGACCCAAAGGAGGGAAAAGTGGGAATTTTGTGGGATTAGTTTTCTAACCAAAATAATGTTTGGGCATCAACACATCCACTGATTGATGGTTGATCCACCCCCCCCCCCCCCCCCCGCCACTAACTTGGAATCGGAATTTTCAATATTGCCTCTCAATTCTAGAAGTATACATATCACATTCCTTTGCACCCAGAAGCATAACAGAAGTATGCACTCTGTGTGTGCACTAGCTTCTTTGGCCATGAATGTTATGGCTCATTTCCACCCTGCACAGCTCACTTACATTGTGGTTCAGAGCAGAAGGTGAGGCTTGGAGCCAGGGAAGTTGCAGCATGTAGGATAAAACTAAGATAGTAAGGTTGACTCAGCCCTTTTGGCCTCTTTTTAAGCTCAGAGACTGTTTGTAAACATGCAAGAATTTGGGTTAACTCCATACATAGAAAGACACACAGATACCACACACACACACACGCCTCTAGTTTTCTGAGTACAGATCCTTAATTCATCATGTATAGATTAGGCACCTTTTTTGGACATACGTTGTAACACAGAACTTGTACACAAATGTTCATAGCAACAGTGTTCTTGATAGTCTAAAAACAGAAACAACCTAAATGCCTTTCATCTGAATGAATAAACAAAATGTGACCTATTCACAAAGTGAACTATTTATCCTTCAAAGGGGATGTAGAATTGAAACCTGCTACAACATAGACTTGAAAGAAACTGGATGCAAAAGACCACATATTATATGACTCTTATTTTTATGAAATGCCCCAAATAAGCCAATCAAGAGTAGATGAGTGGTTGCCAGGGACTTGCCGGGAGAGGCAAAAGGAGTGACTATTGATTGGGCACATGGGTTTTTTTGATGAAGCAAGAAGTAGATTCTAGAAGTAGATTGCAGTGACACTCACATAATCTTGTGACTCTCCTAAAACTCAGTGAATTGTACTCTAAAAGGGTGAATTTATGGCACATGAATAATATTGTAATAAAACTGCATAATAAAAAAATGTAAATCAAAATGTTTCCAACCAAGCTGGGTTTGGTAGCACACATGCCTTTAATCCCAGCACTTGGGAGGCAGAAGTGGGTGGATCTGTGTGAGATCAAGGCCAGCCTAGTCTACATAGCAAGTTCCAGGCCAGGGGCTACAGGAAGACCCTGTCTGAAAAAACAAAACAGAAAGATGCTTCCAACTGAGTAAGTCATATGTTAGGGGGCAGAACACGTCTCAGTAAATTTAAGAAGAAAGAAAGGAAAAAAAGCTGCCAATCAATAACTTAAACTTCCACTTCAGGAGGCTAAAGAAGGGGGTTCAGGGCACAGTGTTTTCATAGCATGAAGCATGCGTGAAGCTCTGCTTCAGTCCTCGGTACTAAAAGAAACTAAAGAAGAGCAAGCAACTCAAAACAGCTGGGAAAAGGACGGGTAAAGATTAGAAGAGAAAAACCATAAATTGCTAAAATCAGTAATGGAAAGGTACAGGAATTAAAAGAACTATAACTTTTAAGCCAGTTTATTCCAACAACCTACACAAGTTATATAAACTGACAGATGTCTACAAAGATGGATTACCAAAACTGATGAGAAGAAATAGAAATTCAAATAGACTTACAAATGAGAGACAAAAGTACTCATTTTAAAACATCCCACAAAGAGGCCAGATGGCATCACCTGTGAATCTTCTTGAATATTTAAAGAAATAATAACAACCCTTCACACAAGAATAAAGGCATGAGAATTGACTTAATATGTATGTATATCCTCAACATGTGCAAAGAATCGGAACATTGATGGAACTTCAGGAAACATGGATGCATCCATTGTGACAGATGCCAGTAACAGACAGATCCAATAGGCAGAGAATCTAAAAAGCACATGGTTAAACTAAACAGCACTGTCCAGTACATGGGTCTAACTTACATCTACAGAATACTTCATCAGACAGCAACAGAATAGGTGTTCTGTCCAATCACAGGTAGAATGTTCACCAAAGAGATTACATTCTGCAGCCTAACACACATGAACAAACTCAACAGAGTAAGTGTACTCTCAGATTACAATGAAGTTAAACGAGAAATCAGTAATAGGGAGTGGGGGGATGGCTCAGCAGGTAAGAGTGCTTGCTGTGCAAGCAACAGGACATGACTTAGAATCCCCAGTACCCACATAACAGCCAGGCCTGCCCATGCATGCCTGTAACCCCAGTATTTGTGCTGGGAGGAGGGAAGACAAGTGAATCCCAGGTTCCCACTAGCCAGCCAGCCTAGCTGAAATGTTCAGGCTCAGTGAGAGACCCTGTCTCAAAAACTAAGGTGGGAAATGATAGAGGAAGATACCCAATGTCTGTTTCCATCCTCTGCACACAGATGCATGTGTCCACATACACATGTGCATATACCTCACCACATAGTGCTCTCTCTCACTCTCTTTCTCTCTCTCTCTCTCTCACTAAAATGAGCAAAAGAAAGATAGGAGCATTAGACAATTAAACAAAATGCTTTTAAATAACGGGAATTGATAATGTATGTTAATTTGAGAGCATGCATATGGATGTTCATGATTACCAAAACTGGAAGCAACTATGAGTTTGTCAGTAGGTGAATAAATTATGGTATATCCATACAGTGGAATATTATTCTGCAGTAAAAGAAATGTGCTAACAAGTCACAAAATTCTAGGACAATCTAGAAAACAGAAAATTGTAGAAACAGTTTTTAAAAAAATCAGTCTTCCGAGATTCTGGACAGGGGAAAGATGTTTAGGTGAAACAGATCTGGAGGACAGTGAAAGCATTCTTTTTGATATATTAGTGGGGCACATATGACATTATATTATATATTTGCCAGAACCCAAGAATTGGACAACAAAGAGTGAACTTAGTATAAATTGTGAATTTTGAATAAATAAACATATCAGTATTGGTCCGTTAATTGTAACAAATGTGCCACACTGCTACAATATTGTAATACACTAATAATAAGGGAATACATTGAGGGTACATGAGAACTCTGTTATTAAGCATCTGTTCATAGAAACAGTTGACTCCAAGATCAAAGCTGAACCATCAAACTTTACTAGAACAATTTCAGATTTGTAGAAAAATTACAAAGCTAGTACAGCATTTCCCCGCACCCAGCTCCCAGCCTGACATGAGACTGGTGCATCTGGTAGAATGAGTGAACCAGTACTAATTTGTCCCCTAGTTGTTTTTTTCCTTATATTTCCTTAGTTTCTGCTAATCCATTTTCTGTCAGGATAGTGCATTCCATTTCGTTTTCACTTCTTCTTATACTTTTCTTAGCCATGACAGTTTCTCAGATTTTACTTATTTTGAAGATCTTGACTATTTTGAGGAACATTCGCACCCTTGTTGGGTATGCCTGAATTTTGTTTGAAATTAGACTAAGACCAGCCATTGTTGTGCATACCTGTCATCCCAGCAACTCATGAGAGAGAGTCCAAAGGATCACCACAAGTTCAAGGCCACCTGAGCTACAGCATGAATTTGGATCAGCCTGGCCTACACATAGCAAAATCCTATCTATAAAAACAAACAAACAAACAAACAAAAATTAGACTGGGCTTTCTGCACTTGAAGAAGAGCACAGAGGTAAAGTGCTGTTTTCATCCCCTGCTCTGGCAGGTGCCACCACCATCATGGCTTATCACCTTAGTGTTTACGCTAGATTCCTCTGCTGTAAAGTTACTCTTCCTCCCCTCCCACACTGTCCTCTTTGGATGGAAGTCACCATGCAGCCCTCCCATAAGGAGTGGGGAGTGGCTTCACCCTCCCAGGAGCAGAGCATGCCCAAAATTATCTGAAATCCTGTTTGGGAGATTTGTCTTTTTTCCCATTTACTTATTTTTGGACTTATTTACATATTCTCATCAGGAAGGATTCATGGTGCGTTGTGCACATCACATGCACAGCGATTTTATGCTTTGGGTTATATGATATGGGGGGTGTTTGCTTGCTGTTGAGAATTTTCTTCCTTTCTGGCATTACCAGTTGCTGCAGGCTCATACTTTAGATCTCCTGCCCTCTCTGAGATGCAGCCACATGTCCACGGAGACTTTACTGGAGAATAACACTCAAGGCCAAGAGCTGAGCAAGAGATTTCACACATATTTTTGAAGACTGCAGGCTCCTAAACTTGTTCCTTAACTAGGAATGCACACCAGAATCTTCTGGAAGATTTGGTTTAAGTCCCAGGGTCTTTATTTTCAAAGAGCACAGGAAAGACTGTCCCCTCAAAAGTAGTACGGGCATTGGATCCAGAATCCCTAGATTCTCACCAAATGGCCCTATTGTCCTGTGCACAGGCTCAGGAGGGCTTTACCCAGTGGGACAGAGCACGCAGCTATTGGCAATCCT